GCATTATGCCAAGGTTTACCAGTTGCAAGCTGAATCCTCAACCTGTAAACAGGAAAATCGTAGTTTGTCTWCCTATTATTCAGCCCTTACTTCCGTATGGAAAGAATTGGATCATTATCAGGSTATAGAGTGGAAACATGATGATGATGATGCTAAGTGATGGAGTGCAATCCGGTCGGTCCTATCTGTCAACGACCTTGCCTCTGACTAGAGCAACAGAAGGGGCCTGAAAGGAAGAAGAAAGTGGGGAATCTCCGGGGAGGAACCCGGCGAGATCACTCCGAAGCTCAAGTTAGTATTCTCTCAAAGGCAAGATAAAACCAGATGGCGCAATGTTCACATACCTTGTTCTTGGGGGGTAGGGAGCCTTTTATAACCACCTCGCGCACTCACTCCTAAGCTTCTGTCAGGTCGGGTATGATTATCTCTGTGCTCCTGCCAGTTCGGGTGTCATCACCACTGCTGGACAGAACCGTCACTGCTCTCTTTGTCGGAGCCGTCTCTGCAACTGGCGATGGCGGTGGCAGGTGGCGGTGGCAGGTGGCGGTGGCAGGTGGCCGTTGAAGTACGGTTGTCAAGCGTCAGATCCCAAGTCAGTCAGGTGTGCCGCCCTTGGATACGAACCTCCTCGGTGTTAGGTACGTTTGTTCAATTCGGCGTCCTAGAGGCGAAGTGCTGGAGTGGCGAGTGAGGTGAAGTCTTGAGTTCGAATAGAGGAGTGTCCCGAACTGCCATTGGGCAGGCCAGTTCGGGTCGTTGCCTTGTGTGAGGCTTGGGGCCTAAGGGAGAGTTTGGGCTCCTTGTAGGGAGTTCGGGCTCCTAGTAGGGAGTTCGAACTACTAGTTCCTCCTTTCGGTGCTCGCGCCTTGGGCGCGCTGTTGTGCCGAGTTGTTGCCTTTACGAGGTCGGGCCAAATCTTCCTTCATCATTTGCCCCCCACTCCTCGCGCTAAGGGACTTGGCCTGGCGCGGGGAGTTTGTGAGGTGGCAGGTGAATTTGTCCCATACTTCGAACTGGTTTGACTGGTGGCGCGAAGTGCGCGTTTCGTCAGGGTTTTTCCAAGTTTTCTCGAGCGCCAAAAAAGACGGGAAACACGCTAATCTGTCTATGAACGCTGACGGGCGTGATGGCGCGCGTTTATTTCAAAATTCAAAAAAGCGCGCTGCTAGGAGACGTGTCAGCGTGCATTTTTTCAAATTTGAAAAGACGCGCCGCTGCCGCCCTTAATGCGAAGAGTCGTGCGTTGGCGCTTTTCAGTTTCAGAAAGACGTGCGGCCAATCACGTCTCGATCTCAGGAGACGTGCGGCCAGTCACGTCTCGGTCACTGGAGACGTGCAGTCAGTGCGGTTGCGGGCCGTTGGATTGTTTTTTATCCGAGCCGTTGGTTCTCGGTTACTGTGGGTATAAATAGTGGGGGACCCCAGTCACTGTCACTATCCTGTGTTTTGCTTCTTGAGCTCGTGCCTCAGTTTCAGTTCGCGTCCCAGCCTCTAGCTAGCGTTCACGTTCCCGTAGTCCGTTTGCTTCTTTCCGGGTGAGTACTTTCCTCTAATCCTTATTCTCCTTCCAATGTCTAGCTCGGATAGCTCAGACAGTTCTTCAAGGGGGTCGGATGCAGGTTCTACGAACCGAGCTGCATCCTTCGACAGTCCTAGTGACCCTGAGGTAGAACTCGAGGAAGAGTTCGAACCCGTAGGTCGAGTTGCCTCGGGTAGTTTGGCATCCTCTCGTCGAGGTTGGATGTTGGACAAGTTTGGGCCTTCGACCATGACTCTCGAGGGGCTTCAATCCCTTATCACCCAGTACAACTTGCCTAGGGAGTACACCTACTTCATACCTTCGGGCAGTTTCCCTTGGGAACATGGTCCTAATGAGATCGTGATATTCCGGAAGCAGCTCGCTGCTGGGTTGTGCCTTCCTTTCCACCCCCTCATTGTCGAGGTAATGAACCACTTCGGTGTTACAGTCGGCCAGCTTCACCCGAACTCCATTCGTAACTTGGTGGGGACAATCTCCCTATTTTGCGAACAGGTCTTGCCTTTAGACTTGGAGATCTTCTCCTCCATTAAAATGCTTAAGAAGCAAGCGGGTCCCCTTCCCGGGCGTAGGCGGGCATATTACTTGTCTCCTCGCCCGGGTTTTAAGCTTCTACACAAACTTCCCAACAAGGTCCCGGCGTGGAAACGATACTACTTCGGGGTGCGAAGTGAATTGGGGTGGCCGTTCCAAACCGGATGGGGAATGGCTGCCCCTGACGTCGGTGTTACGCTTGATAAGGAGACGGCGAAGGGCCTCCGGCAGTGGGCACGGCTTGGGCTAAAATGCCATCAGTATTTGACGGAGGCCAAGCTCATTGCGGCCGGTCTGAGTTCAAGTAGGTTCCTTACTCACAGGTTTTTTGTTTTGCTTTGTTCTTTCGTTTTTTCTGATGCCGAACTCTTTTTTCAAGTGTGATGGACTCAGAAAGGACTCGTGGTGGGCACCTGTTTCAAGGCATGAAGAGGAGGAAGCGAGTCGCCAAACGAACTCGTGTCGAGCTGCCCCGAGATGCGGAGCCCGAGGTACCAGACTACCCGTCAAAGGATCCGCCCAGGGAGCCCGAGATGGCTCCTCCAATGCAAGAAGCGGCAGGGGCCCCTTATGCCGAGACTACTTACACGGGGCTCCCGCTTACGCGAGTTGGGCCCTTAGGCTCGGGAGCCCAAGGAGAATTCAGGAGCGTGTTGTCGCCGAACCACGCTCTTCAGAAGAGTAGGGAGGCCATTTACCCTGATGAGGTCGCTGCGTGGACCGATCTTCCTTTGAACCAAGTGGCCTGTCATGCTGCCACTCATGCCATGGTGGTAAGTCAGATTTCTTGTCGGGCTCTTTGCTTTTATCCCTCTCGTTGTCATTCTTTTAATCACTTGTTCTTTCCTTTTGGTAGGTGAACTCTTCTATCCATGCCTTGGTGGTCCAGGTGGAGAGGAGCTCGAGGCAAGCGCA